CTTGATAAAAGTTTGCAGCAAACTTTAAATAAATGATTAAACTATACCAAAGCCTATTACAAAAATAAAAATCATAAGTTTTATGAAATTTATTGAAGGATAAAGGTTCAAGAATTTAAAGACAATTTTAAACAAAAAGATATAAGGTAATCAAAAGTATGACAGACTAATGGTGCTCAGATTTTTAGATCAGAGTGTTTGGCACACAAAATCTTCTTTAATATTCCATTATGGACTTAAGGGTTATTTGATTTTATCCTGTATTTACATACTAACAGTAATTATAAATTAAATATGCCTCATTTTTTGCAACCCATATAGTGCTCTATAGACATTCTGAACTTTTCATTCTATTAAATGAAGACTTTTATGAAGACTTTAATAAATTACAGAATATGCTATAACAATATACTATTTACCCACTAATTTTTAATGGGTAAATTACAGAATGTCAGACTACTACTTTAAAAAAAAAAAAAAGGATATTACAGCCAGCTTCTCCGATAACTTTCAAATATCTGGCAATAACCCATAAATTTTATCCCTTAACAATAGATATAAAACATACACCAGAATTGCTGAGTCACTAAATTATAAATATATGTGAAAGTGACATAAACAAGGTAAGACAGTTAAATATATAACATACACACACATATGTATAACTGCTTGACTTTTCCAATTCCTATTTCTGATGCTGCAGCTAACTGCAAGAAAGGAAGATCTGGTCTTTTTTGCTTGCTTCTAAATTTGGTTCACTTTCCAATAATATCTGTTTAGGATGTATAAAGACAAATATAAGCAGAATATACTGTAGGCCCCAACCTAATGCTATCAGTAATGACCACTGATTTGGCTATACCCTCAGTACAAAGATGTAAAGTACAAATACAAGTCAAGTAACTTGAAAACTCAATTATTCAGGATATCAGAGTAGAATTTAAGAATCACGGGTATCAGGTTGGTTGGTTTAAGCTGTGGAATATAATAAATGCTAACACTTGAGTGTTACTGTATTCCAGGCACTCCACTAAATGTTTTATTCTTCCATCTAATTCTCCCAAGAACCCAATCAGCAAGGTAATATCCTTTTTTAAAAAGATGAACGAGAAACATTAAATTTCCAAGGTTAAATAACCTGCCAATGATTCACAGCTAGTAAGTGCATTCTTTTTTCAGAATCAAACTGCCCCTTTAGCAACTAAACCATAAACTGCCCAAGGAAAGAGGAGGAGAGTGGGAGAGAGCAGGAGAGCAGGAGAGAGCAGGGGAGAGGGGGAGAGAGGGGGGGAAGGGGCGGGAAAGG